GAACTCCTGACCTCAAGCAATCCTCCCGCCTCTGCCTCCCAGAGTGCTAGGATTACAGGCCTAAGCCACCACACCCCACCTACATAATCATTCTTGAAATATTCCTGCCAAAAGAAGAATCAAGCTTAAATATGATTGAGCCTGTAGAATTGTGCTCCCCAATATGGTAGCCAAAATTAGTGATAACCAAATAAGCCATATATTGTTAAATATACACAGAAAAATATTGCGAAATCTGAAGTATTAAGAGGTTCTGCCCTGGAGGCGGGGGACTAGAAATGAAGGCTTTTCTTTTACCTTAATAGTGTTGTTTGATTTTCCTTACAACAAAAAATAAAGTAGATTGTAAGAGAGATTACTTACAGCCATGGTGGATAATTGACAAAAGATCTTTGTCAAGTCATCCCAACTAAAATTAACACCAACTAAAGAGGTGGGATCAGAACTGGGGCAAAATGACAGGCATTATTTAGCTAGGCAAAAGGCTTAGAAGGCACAAGCCAGGGGGAGCAAGCAAAGGCACGGATCAGGGAAACACATTAACCTCACTGAATAGGAAAAATGGTGGGAATTTTTCTAATATTATTAGTTAGGATGTTTTTGACTATATACAACAGAAAACCCAACTCAAAACAGGTTTAGGCAAATTTATCGGATTTTAAAACAGATTATTCCGATTAGCTAACTTTGGACCTATTTGACCAATAGGTTCATAGCATCAGTCAGAAAGTCCACATCTTGACTGCTCTCTCAGCTCTGCCCTCCTCCATGTGATTTGAATAGGTAATTAAAAATTTAAATAAGTATTTCATTTTCATCTACATTCCTAAAAGTTGTATATACAAACTAGCAAAAGAAATTCTTCAGAGAGATAGGGTAGACTCCCACTTGGTGAACTGGGGGATTCACAGAAACTTTCTTGCTGAAACAATCTCTGCGATCCCTGTCAAAGGGGAAATAAACAAGGTAAGCCTAAGATCACACCACTGTTGTACCTGGAGGCAATTCTGAACATCAGGGGGAATCCAAAGAAATCCTGGCTGTTAGTTTGGAAAAGACGAAGGAAGACTAAAATTTAGGGACAGAAAAGCAGAAAAGAAAGTTCTGCACTGAGGAAGAACTCCAGAAATCGGCACAGCAGTTCTCTTAAGTCTTTAACTGTATCAATCTACACGTGTGTATGGTAAAACACTACAAAGCTAGACAAAGAAGAACTTTGGGGTAAAAAACAATTACTGGAGAGGTATAAGCAAAACAGTTCACAAAGCTCATGCAGGGCTAAGAATTATTCACATTCTCACCAACCAAAATAAAGTCATCACTGAATAGACAGGACATTCAAGAGAGACCCCAGAAGGTCTCTTTGTTGGATGTCAGATATTATGAATTTTAGATATTATGAATTGAGTGCTGAATGATGTTTGACTTTGTTCTGTCCAGCAGTTAAGTTTCT